TATTTTCTCCTTCTACAGTAACACCAGCAAGCAATAAAAATAGAGCTGTTAGCAGTCCCTGTCTATAGCCCCGATACCAAAGAGAACTGGAAACATCTGGATGCATTTTTTTTTCTCAACAGGACAGCCAAGAAGGTATTTAGGCAAGAGCATCTGCTTGTGCACTGGGGTTCCCTAGCATGGCTAAGTGTGCCCAGCTCTGAAATGATAGCCTTCAGATACCAGGTTAATGTAACACTGAATGGCATCCAGAAGTCTCAGCCATCTGCCATGACCACAGAATCATGTGGAAAAAACGTGGATAGACATATAGTATCCAGTCAACTAATGAAAAATGGCTCCTACTGTATATATGAAAAAAATGAAGAAAAACCAAACAATTTTGCATGGAAAAATACTGTTTCTTTACCACTAACACTATTTTTATGTAACTACTCTGTTAACCTACAAGAATCAAGATGGAATATTTATTCATATATACAATTGTGCACACACATCCAGTACTTTGTTTTAGGTGAAACAATTTCTCATTTGTTATTTTACATTAATTATGTGATAGTTATTTTACATATAATTATTATCCTGTTTCATGATGAAAATAAAAACTTCACATCATGGAGCTTCCACATGGTGGAAACCCTGTTCAGTACTTCTGCTCCTCACTGTCACAGCCTTTAAACAGTTACAACAATGTGGTGAGAGGAAGGAAATACGTAAAGGGTATAAATCAAGATTAAAATGCTATGCCTGAATTAAGAAAGGAAACAGAGGACCCTAGTACATATCATATATGAAAATAAGTTAAATGGATGATGAGAGAAGAGGAAATGGGAATGGATCTTAATTCAAATCCAAACCAGACTAGGGGTATGGCTCTACAGAGCACATGCACTGAGCTCAGGCTGCCTAACCACACTTAAAAGTCCAGGAGGATCCTGGCTTTATAAAGGGTATTCTTTATTTATTTTTTGCTTTAAATCCACCCACACCAGCGGCCCACAACCAGTTTTAACAGCCCCAGCAGTGCCTCTCAAGAGATGCAAGCAGGCTGAAGTAGTTGGCAGCTGTCCAGGAAGATGAGTGGCAACCAGACACTGCACAAAGGAGGTGCTTTAGAATAACTTTACACAGACATTGGAAGAAGCCAGCAGAAATCAGAGTTGTTGCAATTTTATGGGAGTATCTAACATCCCAATGATTGTTGGCCAAATGCTGCTACAATGATGAGGTCCTTGTCACTTGGGACAGAGCTCCTGAGAGCAAGAGCTGGCAACATTCCCTTGCCCTCTCTTAAGACAAAGTGCACAATGGCTGCACCATGAATGTACATTTTTTTTTACACTCCTGAGTTTAAATCAACACCCTTCACAAGAGATTCAAACCTATCATTTCAAACATTGGTGAAACTAGATCTGGAAGTAAACACACCACTGAGCTGAACAAAAGCCAGGATGATTCACAGGGAGATGTTCCGGGTTTGGTCAAGGTTTACAGAAGGAAGATTTTTAGCTATTCCAGTCACTGCTGAGCAGACAGTGAACTTCAACTGAAGATTAAAGAGCCCGCAATCCTACTTTTTACAATAAATTGGAAAACAGCTAAAAACATTTGAATTTTCTGCTACTGGAAATTGAATATGATCTTGAAAATATTTTGTTGTCACCTAGCAGTTAGCTACTAAATACAGTGCCCTTCCTAAATTTACTAATCTCTCAGAAGCAGGAAGAACTATTTGTTTTTGCCACAGAAGCATTGATAGGTAGAGCTACCTTTAAAACCTTCTTCCTTTGTAGTGAAGGCTGGCACTTCCCTCAGCAGAATACGTATACACAAAACAGGTTTGCTGTCTGAATTTGGCAAAAGCCCATCTCGGTCCCGTTTCATCCTCCCCTGCCAAGCTCTGGCCAGGAGTTTGGCCATCTTCCGGCAGTATGAACCATCCCCCCATGCATGTGGGCCCAGCTTCAACGAACAGTGGGCAGAAAGCTACCTTTACCCCCTTGGTCTGGAGGAACAGAGGCTCTGAGGAAGAGAGGGGCTGAACTTCTGCAGGTAGGATAAAGTCCTCAGTGCTCTGGTGACCATGCTGTCACAAAGGCAAGCACCCTTCTTCCTCTCTGTGCTTCAGATGAAACTGTGGAGCTATTTGTGTGTACCAATGTACCCAGAGCACACCATGCCTATGAGGCCACTGGAGTCAAGCCTCCCTCCACCAGGCAGGGAGTGAGGCATTTGCTCCCCCAGGTTCCAGCACACCATACGAGCTCACGTCTAAGTTTCAGGCTCCCAAGCTGAGGTGCTAAAATAGTTTAAGCACCTAACAGGTTTCAAGGCCACTTGGGTACGCTCTTTCTGAATTGCTTTCTTAGGCTTTGAACCTCTCTAGTTCTTGCTCTGAGGCCCAAATCCAAAGCTCACTGCCATGACTACAAGAACTCCTCACGCATCAGAGATGTTATTTTAGGGCCAAAAAAATATGTCCCTTCCAGTTTAAGTGGCTATTAGGTAACTGAGAAACAAAGCTTCGAAACAGAATCACCAGGGTACAATTAAGAGGAAAGATAAGCATCAGATTTCTGACATAGTTTTTTTTTTGGCGTGGAATTAATGTAAACTTCAGCTGTGGTGACAGGCAAGCAAACATTCACTCATACTAAGCTTCAGAGAAGTGTCCTTGCTAATTCTGCATGGCTTGATGTATTAAAGTGATTAAGGGATATGATGCAATACAGATGAGTCGAAATCAAATCCAAGATTCGAACCTCTTCCCAGATGAGGCTCTTTAGTTTAAGTCTGAAGATTTATCCCTTCTGCCAAAAGGGATCAATAGAATTCTTTCTCCACACAGAGACTTTTTCAGAAAGCCAAATTGTATTCCTAACCAGAATGACAAAACAGCTTAGCCTAAACTCAGCTTTCCCTACCTAAAGTCAAGGCTCACTTTGCCTCATTTCAAAGATGAGATCCTAAGCTCTCTGCTGACAAATACTGGGTGTTGTCCTAGACTGGAAAGAGAACATTTACTAGATTTAAGGTATCTCAGGAGAGCCAATTCAGAGTAAACAAAGTAGTTATTTTACAAAATTAAAAAAATAAAAAAGAACTTGAACAAGGGAACAGTGGGTTTGGATAAGCACCACACAGAATGCACTACCACACATGGGGAGAGCAAAGGGGCTGTTGGCTGCTACTGAGAGGGGCAGTTCAGCTCTTCTATGCCAAAACCATTCACGCTGTATCCAGTAAATACACAGCTGCTTGAAGAGTTGGCCCAGATAACTGATTAGATGGAAACATAAACCACCAGAATAAACAAAATATGCTTAAAAATTTAGAAAAAAAAAACAAGTGTTTTCCAATAGTTGGTTGCACAAGAGTGGAGTGAGAATGCACCATTGGGAAAACAGGCTGCCAGAGCAGGACAGCACTCTCCAAAGCCAACCACTACTCTGGGGTAAAGTAAATCTGAAACTTAAACACCTATGAATAAAACGAACTCAGGCTAAGTGAAAATGAAAATCAGCTGGTAGAAAAGAGAAGTACTGGAACAAACAAGTGAGGTGACTGAACCGCATGATTAGGAGAAAGAAGAGGAGACCAGAGTCAGAGCTTTTCATCAACATAATTAATTAATAGCTTATGCACACATGACTGACTGAACAATTCCATCAACACTCATTCTTTCCATTGCATAGGAAGACAGAGGATTCATCACCTGCGGATCCATCACCTAAATTAAGTGCAGGAAAGGACAGGGGAACTAATGGGACTTCTGTGGGTTCCAACATCCCCTTTTGGACGTAGGGTTTTCAGTAGGTGTATCTTCTACACATATTTTGAAGAATCAAGGGACACTTTAATAAAAAAATGCACTTTTCTTGAAATTCAATATTGCTCAACTGTATGTATTTCACGAAAAAATTTAATATTCAACATACAGATGGAAAGGGGACTAGAAATCCCCACTCTTGGATTCGTGCCCTAACCACATAATTATAGGATCACAGCTCACCTAATTCTGCACTGAAAACAAGGCAGAACTGTTTCATAAGTGAGGAGTTCTAGATCACCAACCCAGAGCAAGACACAAATTTACAGTCAAGCACTCTTGAGAAATGAAAGATGCAAATTCAGAACTTGGCTCTTCATGTTCAGTAACAGTTATAGATAAAACCTAAGGAATAAGAAGCAAGAAAGGAAAGAAAGAAAAAAAAAAAAAAAAAAAAAAAAAAAGATGGTGGGATACTCCCCTACAGGGATTTAGGTATTTTAAGTGGGTCCCGATAATCTAAATGTAATCTGAAAATACTTGTTCTCTATGAGAACAATGTGTCAAGGAATGCCTCACTCACTTGTGGATGCCAGGACAACTTAGGCACCTAACTAATCAATGCTAACAAAACTCAAGCCACAGCAAGAAGCAGACCTCAAAGCATTCAGCAAGTGTTACTGAGAAAAACCTGAGCCTACACAGATCAGAGGGCGAGAGTATGAACTGCATATGTCCCTCTGTAGCCCCATAGAGCAGCTGTCCACAGGATCATTAGATGCCCAGGTGCTTCACAGGTTTGTCCCAGCATACTGCTGTTGAGATCTTGTCTCCTTTCTACACAATCAAGTGTGAACTGAAGGAATGACCACAATATCTACCTTTCCATTCTTATCTAGAGAAATGCATCACATGTAACACTGGGCACTCTTCCACACTGAAGGAAAGTTACAAGACCAGTTTGCTGCAATAGGATTTCCATTTAAGCTTTGGCTAACCTGTGACTGATTACTTGAAGCATACCTGCAGAAGGTGATCCAGGTAGTTATTTCTGACCTGGTATAACAACATTTAGATATTAATTTGCAAAGAACATTTTGATTGCACAAAGATATTTACTTATAGCAATACCAGTCTGAGACTGTTTTAAGTATAATCTAATATTGGACCTAATTTATATGAAAATTTGAATTCTGTAATAGTTAAATAAGATTACTGTTTTTCTACCTACCTCCATTTCTCAAGGTCTACCACTTGTCAGAAGACACAGTTCCAAGCGTAATCTTGGAAGGAGGCTGCCAAGTTAATGCTCATGAAGTCTTAAAGCAGCCAACTCCAGACACTTAGAGGTCTTCCCTTCCAAGCCCCTCTGGCAGGATGGGGAGATGGCAAGGCAATGTAGGTGAGCAGCATCACCTGCATACAAAATGCCCGATAGCACTGCCTTTGGCAACTGATGTTCTGCAAGCATGAACCGTGAAACAACGCATGGATCAATATTCTTTAAGGAACAGAGCATATTGGTTTTAAAAACACACTCTCCCATTCAACATAACTATTGGTATGCACTGGGTTTACAAAAACTACCATTAGAGCGGTTTTATGTCCTAGGAGTTACATGCATGGTGAGAAAATCATAACTTACAAATTGCAAAATCATCACCATATATTCACACTGTAACTTCCTAAGTAACCGCACACAAAACAGTTATGTTATATGCGACCACACGAGGGTTCATTCTCACGCACAGCCTGAGCTGTGCCACGAACTGCAGAGGATGCCCGCAGTTCTCCCGGAAGCCTAAAGCCCAACCTCACGTTTCAGACAAGCAAAGCAGTCTCACTACCTGCGCATCGATCCATCCACGACCGGGCAGGGATACCCCGCGCTCCCTTCGCCGCGGGCCTCCGGGGCTTCCCACGGCCGCAGCCGTCCCTCCCGCTCCGCTCCGCTCCTCCACCCGCGCTCACCTCCCGGCCCCGCCGCCAAGCTCCGCTCCGCCACCCGCGCTCACCTGCCGCCGTCATGCGCCGCCTCCTCGCAGCCCGGCCCGCAGGGGCGGCCCCTCTGCTCGGTACCTGTGAGGGGGACGCCGGCTGCGTCCCTGACTGCCGCCCAGGTGTGCGGCGCGGCGCTTAGTCACCAATCCCTATCGCGGAGAGGGGATTTCCCTGCTGGCTGCTTCCCTGCCTCGGTGAGACTACGCGCGAGGACAGAGTTATCCTCAAGCAGCTGCCAGGGGCTTTTCTCTGTCGCTCGCTGGGCTGTTGCGCTGGCAAAGTCAGTGCTAAAGCTGTCCCATGCTTTGCTAAAGCAGGACTGGGACTTTCTCTTAGAGAGGAAAGCAAAGCTTTAATTTGTATACCTTTCTAGCAAGTAGCATTTCTAGCTGAGATGCTGGTCCCTGTCAGGTGAGACGGTGCACAGGTATGTGAAAGCCCCTGCCACAGCCTGAGCTATTTGTCGGCTCATTTAGCGACCATGCGTGGTGGTGCGGCTCAGAAACCTGCAGGAAGCAAAGGCTCTAGGAGGCTCCAGGTGGCTGTGTGTGGCCTCTGTGCTCCGATTCAGGCAGATGTAAGCAGGAAGTGGGGCTGTGTTAGTGGGAAAAAGGAGGAGTGTTTCCTCCAGGAAGTTCTGTGTACTTTCTGGGTGCTTTCCAACTTCAGGTACGTGAGTGAGGTTTTGCATGCCCATCCTGCTGCTCTTGAGCCACAGTCTTTCAGAGATCCCTCATCCACTGAGTGCAGTTTTCCTATGATTATTATTATCTTTTAATTTAATAGCAGCACGGATGCTAACTATTCTAACTATGAGTTTTGTCATCTTGCACCATAACACAGCTACTTCAGAGTCACTGTGAGGAGAGAGCCTTTGCCAAAAGTGCACACAAAGTATCTGAGCTAACAAAGAGCCTCTGTGAATCCCTGCACAGTGTGGGATATCACAGAGCAAAGAGGTTTTGATTCCTGCTAAGGGAGCTGATGAGATTATGTGTGGTCACCCCTTTCAAGCAATACAAATAACTGGTAAGCCTCCAAAATTATCTTTTGGTATGCATTAAGCACACATCTCAAGGCATCTCACTTACATGAATGAGTTATGTGAACTATAATGAAAGCTATCTTTCACTGTTCATAAAAGCATGTTGTTTAACTACTGATATGGTCTCTGTGTGCACTTGCCTCTATCAGGTTACCATGTTAGAGCTGAAGGGCTATTCAGGCTCTGCAGTGATTTGCAGACCTGCCTGCGTGGCTCTCCAGCTGCTGGAGCCAGCAGCTGCCAGGAATGCAGGCTCACGTCGCTGGTGTAGGAAGGGACATAAAAACCATATTTCTAATGAGGAAGTTATAGGGGAAAAATACAGTTTGCCAGACTATATTCCTCCTTCCTCAAGGCACAGGAAAGGGCATTCTCTGTGACTTGGGGGGCCTCTTCTCACATTCCTGGGGCTTGTTGGATGTCTAAGGACACACCTTCCATTCTTCTTTAAGCAGCCTGAAAATTGGACAGTTTGTTTCAATAAATACAAAATTCAGCTGCACATGGCAAGGGACGTGGTTGACCTGATTTTGAGTGGAGGGAAAGAACATTTGTGTGGAGGCAGAGAACATAATTGTGGTATATATATTATTTAGCTGCAGAAGTAGATGAACCTTCCCCTCCCTTAAAGATTTTTGTCCCAGTGAAATCAAGCATGAAGATAAGCAGTGAAACCTATTTACTTCTGTTTTTTGCTGCCTAAGCCTATCTGCCAGCTGCAGATATATTCCTCCCTCCTGCCTGCCTCTTGCCAGCATACGGTGCCCATGTGCTGCTTAAGCAGCTGCTAATCTTTCTGTAACTAAAGCTCACTTGAGAGACCTGATGCTCTTCCCATGCCTTAAGCTCTCAGCCCCTCTCTCCCCATTTCTGTCCCATGACCGTGTACAGCCACCCAACCCTCCTATCTCTTGGAGCTGCACAGCTGCTCTGCGCCTCCCACTGCCTCAACCAGGGCACCCTGGTGCTAAGACTGAGCAAATAAACTAGGCTGGTCAGGGCCAAACCACAGCACCGAGCTCCACAAGTGCTGAGATACTTGAGCAGCACCGTGCAGAGCCAGCAGAGGAAAATTTATTAGTCTGGGCTACACATTGCCTACCACATCCCCCAGCGAGGCCTGTCTCATCTGTTTTCAACCTCTGCACAGCACACTACTCATTTGTTACCGAATTTGTTTATGCTATTGAATTACAACTTCCCGGTGTTTTTCTCTGTGAAAACGGAGTAGCCAGAGGAGAAGACTACAGAAAGGAGCTACAAGCAGGAGAGAGCTTTATCCTCTTTGGCCTCAACCATTTAGGAAGTAGGCGTGAAACAGTAAAAAGCCCTTGTGTAAATACTGACACAAGTGCTCTTGAATACTTCTTCATGTCTGTAAAAGCTTTCAAGCAGACTCTGACGCTCTTTCTTCACTTTGCGCAAACACGCCAGTGAATGAGTTTGTGAGCAGGAATGCTCACAGATGTCTCAAGCCTGAGCTCTCCCCAGCGATCCTTTGCATCAGAAATCCAACTCCACCACTTGTGCACAGTTCATGAATCATGCCAACTTTGATTTGCAGTATCAAGCAGTTCAGAGGCTGAATCATGTTTGCACAGAGCACACCAGAACCTTTCAAGCAAAAAAAGTGCATGTGTGTGGAAAACATCACTGGTTGATAGTTCTTGCCTTGTTTGAAACATATCAAATGCAATTAAGCAGCTGAGGAGAGTCCTTTAGATGTAGTAAGCATTTAACACCACTGTGTCTGAAATATTTTGATTTCAGAAATTGACATGACGTGATATATTCTGCAATAGCCAAGCAATGAGCTCAGCTGTCCGGACATAAAAGCAAGCTGTTATCAGGACAAGGCCAGCACAAAGCATACGGTGTCTCACAGCCAAAATCCCAGTGCAACCACTAAATAAAAGTTTTGTATGCAGAGGTTTTTTGTGAGAAAAAAAAGGTTTCTCCAACTCAGATTTCAGTGAAATGTCAGAGTTCTTTTCAGCTGAAGTCTATAAGCTGTTAACACACCTTTGTTATAAACAACTTCTGTAGCCAGAGGCTTTTACTACCATGGAAGTTTTTGCAGCAGTAACCTTTATCCCCTGAGGTTTTGCTGGGAGAAACATTAAACTGTAGTCCTCATCATCTCTGTCCTACTCTCAGCTGGAGACTGGCTTTTTTCATTCCTATTACAACCTCTGAGTTTAACAGACACCTTCCTTCCTCTACAACATATGCTGGGTGGGGTCTACACACTTTGTTATAGAAAGCTGTTATCATTTAATTCAGTCTGTGTCTATTATGCTTTCTTCTTCTTTTTTTCTTTTTCCTAATGTCTCTTTAACGTCATGCTTTCCTGACATAACCTGCTGGAACTCTGTCTACTACCTGAAACTGCAGCCAGTTGTCTCCTCCGATAGTGCTGTAGAAGAACAGATTTATTGTACCATGTCTAGCATCTTTTGAAAGTGCTGCTGGGATGTCTAGAGGAAAAATTACAGGCAAATACTTTGGTGACCAAATTAAACTCTCTCTCATTTAGATTGGATGTACTGCGAATTTGAAAAGAGATTTGCTGGCCTGTTGTGTCTTGCCTTATGCTATAAGGCAGCTTTTCCTTGTGCACATCATTAATATGTCGTGAGAATAACTCCATGGTGGACTCATCCTTCATGAGCCAGAACACTTTGGATCTGTCTCTCCACAGACAGTGAGACACACAGGGGTTTAGCTGTGACGTCTACATAGGCTGCAACAATTTCTTCTCAGCTACTTGTCAATCTCTGATGTTATTAATGGCTGCCAGCCCCAGACCAGCACAAGGTAAGGTGAGGATCCCAGTAACCAGTGAGGGAAAGGGTGCTGTCCTGACCCTGAGCTAGAGTTTTCCTACCGTGAGCTATAGCCCACAGCAACAAGCAGGACCACATAAATGCAGAAGGGAAAGGTTCGTCTTCCTCCTTGGGAGACATTCCTTGCTGCTGCTACTGTCTAGGAATCCGAGATGGTTAACCCAACAAACTTAGGAGACATTATAAACCATAATGTACAGCTGACAATAGAATGAGCAGAGCTAAGGCTCTTGTTTTTCAATTGCATTCTTTTCTTGCCCTGGCTTCATTAAGAGCCAGCTGCTCTTAGTCCAGGCACTAGTCTCACGTGTTTGTGCGAACATTGTCACATCTGCTGAAAAAGATAGTGGAAATACATTATCAACATATTAGCCTTCAGATAACTTGTAGAGCACTTGTATCTGAATGTTGTAGGCAGACAGTACAGCCTCAGCTTTAAATCAGTGTGTTATATGCAAATAACCCTTAACATTTCAAATCTGCTATTTGAATCCAAGAAATTCCAATAGTTTCCTAGCTGATTTGGTGATTTAAGCTGATACATTTAGAATTTGTTTAGATCTATACAGCCTGCTATTTGAAATTTGAAATACTGGATAAAGGATAAAAGAAAAAAGGAAGAACCTGATCAGCAGCCAATTTCAGGAAAGATTTGAAATCTGAGATATCTCTGACTTCCTGTCTACCTCTCAGCAGTCGGACTTGGCTCAGCGTCAGGGTTTCAAGTTGTTCCCCAAACCTCATTGTTAGGAGACAAAAACAAAACAGGAAAGACCTGTTTCAGGAAGGGCTGTCATATCTCTGAAAAAGGCCCTGTGGGGCACCTGACTCCGAAACACGCTTATTTATTGTAAATTATTTCCATGGCGTCACATTAACAAACAGAAAAGGTCATGAACTCCTGTAATTGAAGCAAATGTGTTTGACATCTGGGTTCTGGCAGAGGTTTCTCCTGTGGGATAGATTGTTTGTGCAGAGCTTTATTGAAGAATAATATTAAGAATGAATTACGAAATATTAGTGTAACCTAGTAAGAAATTATTGTATTTTACAAGCCAGAGACTTAATAGATCTCACAGAACTATTTTCGCTCCTTGGATTCAAAGACACGTCAAGGAACGATAGCTGTGACCAGCTAGAAGAGAA